AAATTTGATATTACCTCCCATTGAGCAAAAAAAAAAAAAAATATCCCCAGACGAAATGTTAAAGTTCTTTTGTTGAAGAGGATGGAAGTGTCACGTGGTAGCAGCTGAAATAAAGTGACATCTTTGCTGTGGAAAATCACTGCACCAGGGAGGGGAGGAGGAAAGTCCAGTTCATACCAGGACAAATGGACAAAATTCTACTTGTATGGTCCATACTGCCACTGAATTAAAGAGATGCCTGTTTGTTTGTTTACTTAGTATTTTGTCATTCTCTCTTCTCCCAAGATCACCTTTGCAGCTGCAATACATCAGGCAAACGCCACTACAGCTTGTATTAAACAGCCACCACTGTCTTAAAACTCCAGCTGAACAGACCAGACAAATACAAGTAGCCAGTGGCCAGATTTTACAATTGCAAAATGCCCACATTCAGCTGCAGTGCTGGCAGCAATAATCCACACTGCTATTTTTAGGATGCTCAAGGAATATATTCAGCTTGAAGAGGTACATACACTAAGGTACCCAGCACTTCCCATCATGTGCTCAGCTTCACAAGAGTTAGATTCCCACAAGCAAACTAAATTTTAAAATTCCAAACATTTAAAAGCCTCTTGAGAACCACGAGAATATGTTCCACATAATGTTGTGAATACATGTAGTGATTTCTTCCAAAAATCTTCCCCCATGCTATCTGGAAGTCTAATATTACACCACACTTACTCTTAGCACAGAAGTTGTTGGAGGCTGTACAAGTTGCTTTAGCATTCTATGACAAATTAACAAATGAACCTTTGGAAATATGACAGCAGGAGCACGACTGGAACAGCAAGGTGATTAAGAACCCTGCTGTGTTATTGCCACCAGCTTTTGATTGCATGCCACACAAAGTCAATATGTTTTAAATTTATCAGTGGAGGTTTTTGATAGCACTGGAGTTAGTGCTCCCTTGGGAGGGTGACCTGCTCAGTGGCTGTGCTTCACTGTAACATGTGTGAACCCGGATGATTATTAAACCTCTTCATCATTCAGCCTCTGGCTGCGCTTCCTCAAAGTGCCACCCGAGGGGGCTGTCCGGGAGGGAGAAAGCAGGAGCGGCGTCCCGGTGAAACAGGGAATATGCACATCAGGCCGGGAAGTCAAACGGAGCACTTCAAGGGAAGACTCATTATTTCTAAACTAAGGTGAACAATCACTGCCATCGTTTACAAAACTCTTCTCAGATCATGGGCGAAAGCCATCTGTGTCACAAACATGGTGAGGTGTCCACTTCAGCAATTAAAACCTTCTAACAACTCAAAAGCATTTTCCAATGGCACCTCAAGTAGGGCAGATGCCACAAATCAAAGGTCCCAACTGTCACCCCAGTTCATAGATCAGCATTCCGGAAATTTTCAAATAACATTCAATACCAGAATCGTTCGAGTTCCATTACCAGACATGGCACTCAGTTCATGGAGGCTACGATGGAATAAAGTAACAAAACATCTTATGGTGCTCATGGAAGCCTTCCCTGGAGCCTTTAAGGACTTCTAAAGTTGTGACAGAGCAGTGCCATCAGTGCTCAATACTAAACTGATGTTCAGGAATGTCACATTAGGCAGTGATCTGTAGGTGATCACAGAAGGCTCAAATCTTTTTGCTGGAGGGGAAGGACTCTGACAAACCAAAGAGTTTCAAGAGAAACAACAATGTGTGTGAAGAAAGGACAGGATAAGCTATTGCTTTCTTGAGCTTCTTTTTAATAATATTCCAACATAAACCAGATCCTTTCTAAAAAAAAAAATCAAAAGCCTAAACTTAGCAATTCTCTGACAATGACACTGAACTGCCAATACTAATATTTTTGTTCTGAAAAAAAAATTATGAGATAATTCCTTGCATAAATAATCTTGGACACTGAGCATATCAAATTGCTTAAGATTTCCTAATAGGAATCAACACATAAATTATCAAGAAGTGATACTCATCCCTAATCCAAAAGTTGATCTATACACATGTTCAATACATTAAATGTTTAATATTAATGTGCAAAAGGAACACATATTACAATGTTCAATTAAAACCACAAAGGCCAAGCAAAAGGCTGTCCCAAAGGAGCAGGCAAAGAACTCTGGAGGCATTTCATTCACGCTCCTGTTAGACACCAAAATTTAGGATCAAGTGCTTGTTTCTCTCCATGTGGCAGTTTCTCCTCCTGACCTCCTTAAGGCAAAGAGCAGCAAAAGGACCTGGCCATGTGCTGAAAGAAGGGATTTGGTACATTCTTGCTTCTTCCCAAAATGAATTATGAGGTCAGCATGTCAGGAATCCACAGAAGTTCCTTGCTTTTCTTGGAATCTCCCATAAATGTGAACTAACCAGTTCCCTGATGCAGAAGAAAAACTAAATTAGGTTGCTTTAGTGTTGCTGATTAGCCTAATGCTTAATATTTCCATGCTTGAGGGATCACCACAAAAAAAAAGGTTTAAATCTAGGCAATTGTTTCCATATGATGCTTTTTTCATATTTCACTTAAACATGTCTTCTAACACTACTTTTTAAACCAAGTTTTGGTTATTTCATTTAAAAAGAACACAGCAGTCATTTTTTTCAACTTTCTAATGCCAGTGTTAAAAAAAACCCATCATGAATTCACATATTGCCCAGAAAAATGACTTAAGGCAAAACACAAATCCTTGTTTACCAACCCCGATGATGAAAAACTGCACCTGAGCACCTCCACAGCTGATCATTAAGCTCCTTAACCAGAAACGCGGAACTTTGCTTTCCACAGAACACAAACATTTGCTGCAAACACTCAAATAACACCCACCAGGCGGCAGCAGAACCGAGCAAAGCAGAACATGGACTCGCGGCAGGGAAGGGTGAACAAACCCGTAATTCCTCTGAAGAGCCGCTCCCCACGTTTAACATTTACTTTTGCACTTCATGTCACTGTCTAACTTGAGTAAGACCAAACATTCGGGGTCTTAAATTCTCAGTTATATAGTATTGTTCTGTTTGGCACTGGAAAGAAATACTTACAGTCCAAACAACTCTGTTTACTCAAATCATCAGCGTCTTCTGTGAGATTGTACAAAGTTTTAGCATAAAAAAAAAAGGATTCAGCTCCACACCCAACGGTATCATTCATGTCACTTCAGCAGAACTTCTGCATTCCCACTGTTACCTTTTATATACAAAGTATTTTTGGTGACAAGTTTCCAGTACTTGGATCAGTCATTCAGAGAAATGAGAAATCACAGTTGATGCACACAATCTCAAAACACAAGGGAACTCTTTAATAAACCACTTTTAGCCAAGTCTTACACAAATTAGTCATAACCTCTTGAATTTCAGTCCCTAAAACTAGTCACTAGTTTTCCAACATTATTTCCCCCATTCTGGTAAGTAATTTAGAAATGTATCTATCAAGACTTGCAAATAGCAAGGAAATACAAAAGGGGCCAATTATATTTACTTTAAATATTTTTAATTATGTAGATTGCATTTACTTTCCCTGAACCTAAAACCCAGTATTTTTTAAAAAACTTTGATAACTGAGGTTCATACCACTTTCTGCCAACATTTCAACATCCCTGACAGCAGCAGAATGAGCTCACCTGCTACTTTTACTAATAAGTATCTGATAAAACTACATTATACCTGATTTCACACCTAGTAAAGCAATAAGGTGTTAATCCTAATGAATAAGGCAGGTTGAACACCAACTTGAATATCAACTAATTTCTACAGTTTTATTTCTAACACAAAGGACTGAGTAAAGCACAAGAAGGCATTTTCATTTCCTGGCAAATATTTAAGATTGTATTCATACAACAAACATCAGCATAGTTACAGGACAATTAGTGGAATATTTTTATTACTACATACAGCCAGTACCACTGCACAATATAACACTGTTATCAAAGATTACCGAAGCTATCTCTTCCTATTCCTGCTATGTCTACGAAGACAACAATATGCAGTCAAGAATGACAAGACCCAGCCAGCATAAAAGTAAAGCATTATCCAGTGGGAAGTGTCCCTGTCCATGGCAGGGGGTTGGAATGAGATGATCTCTAAGGTCCCTTCCATTGCAAACCATTCTATGATTCGATAAGGACGAGGTGCTGTCACCCAGTTCCTGTTTTGCCAGCTGGTCTTGTACTTTGGCTGCATCCACCAGACCAGGCTTCATTTCATCTCTTGTTTCACGAATTTCCCAAAGAACAGTTTAACCCTAGTGCTGCCAGCAGAATCTCCTAGCTTACTGTAAAACAGCTAGGGAAGAAAAGGGAGCAAGAGGATCACACTTCCCTGCTGGAAAACACAGGCTCTGACCCCTCGAGCAGCCAGACCCCCCTGACGAAAGGCAGAAAGAAAGTACACACTGTCCGAGTGACACGGCCGTGCCAAGGGGCGGGTGCGAGGGGCCGGGGCACCCGCTCTGTTACCAGGGTAAGGCGGGGGGTCCCCCCGAACCTGCGCTGTCCGCGGCTCCTCACTGCTCCCGGGAGGCCTTCACAGAGCGGCGGGACACACACGGACAGCAGCTGACGGCAGCCACAGCGGCGAGACCTCAGAGCTGCCCTTCCAGAGCTCTCCCCGAGCCCCGCGGGAAGACACGCGGCGAACAGAGGGTCCCAGAACCCGGACCCCCAAGGTCAGGCGGTGGGGAGGGAAGAACATGACAGAGGGAGGAAGGAGGGTTTCCCCACACACCTTCTTTTCCCTCAGGGTTCCCTGAGGCCCCGCCCGAGGCCGCCCCTCACTCACTGGCCGCGGCGCGGGGCGGGCACGGCGTCTCGGGCGGCCCCGGCCGGAAGCCGCCTCAGCCGGGAAGGCGCGCGCGGCGCCGAGGCGGGAGGCGCTGTGATTGGACGGCCGGGGCCCGGCGCGGGGTCTGATTGGCCGGTTCGAAAGGCGGGCGGCGCGCGGCGGGGCCCGGACCGGCAGGGTGGGAGCGCTGAGGGGCGGCCGCGTTGGGCCGCTCGGTTCTGCTGCTCTGCTGCTCTGCTGCTCCGCTGCTCCGCTCGTCCCGGGACCCACTGCGCGCCCGTGCCCGCTGTCTGAGGGCACTTATCGGACCGGACGGGCAGGAACAGCACTGGGTGAGACCCAACGCCCCGTCCCTCGACTCGCACCAGGCCTCGGGCAGGGAGGGGAACTTCTGAGGGCGGGAGTGAGGGCATTTGGTTTTCTCAGAGGGGGGAACTCATCGCGGTTTGCAGCTTCCTCGTGAGGGGCAGAGGAGGGGCAGGCACTGATCTCTGCCCTGTGGGGACCAGTGACAGACCCGAGGGAATGGCTGGAGCTGTGTCAGGAGAAGTTTAGGCTGGATATAAGGAAAGGTTCTTCCCCCAGAGGGTGGTCGGACGCTGAACAGGCTCCCCAGGGCAGTGGGCACAGCACCAACCCTGACAGAGCTCAAGGGGAGCTTGGACAACGCTCTTGGGCACTTGGTACAAGTTGGACTCGGTGAGCTTTGTGGGTCCTTTCCAACTCAGAATATTCTATGCTTCAGTGATTCTAAGAAGGTTATTGCAGAAGGGTTTTAACTCGCTGTTGTTGGTGTCTGAGTCTCTGGTAGTGCCACGTTTAGGACTGACACCAACGTGTTGCCAGTCGTGCCGAGGTGCAGCTTTGAGCACCTTCAAAGGGAGCGAATCCCCTGAGCCTGCCCGTGCCTTGGTCTTAACTTCCTTGACCTTTCAGCTTTTCCAGGTGGCTCCATCATGGATGAAACTGTGGCTGAGTATATCCGCAGGACTGTGCTAAAAATCCCACGGGATGAAATCAAGATGATGCTGCAGAAATGGGACTTTCTCTCTGAGGCACAGCTGCAGACTGTCAACTTCCATCAGATAAAGGATAACATTTCTCAAGAAGTTGTTCAACTCTGTGAGGTAAATCCTCTCCTTTGGGGACTGTCAGGGACAGACAGGATGCATATTGAAGCACCAGCAAAAAAAATTAATCTTTGGCCCTAAAACAGCATCAAATGGCAGTTTGTAGTCTGTAAAATGCAAACCTGAACTGGTAATATCATCAGTTTTGTCTGGTTTATAGGAGTGTAGAACTGCCCCATTCTAAGTATGAAAATGCATGTTTTGAGCTCTAAATTACACAAGTTAGATAAAAGCTCAGTATGTTGCATCTTTAAAAAATGGGTGTGTTTTTAAGTTGTAAAATAAAGGCTCGTTGCACAGGCCTGATTTAAATCTATTTTGTATGGGTAATGACAGCAGTAGTTTATATCTTTTAGACTTTTCAGATTTGTTTGGAAAATTTCCTTGGCTAGAATTACTTCCATTCAGTGTACTATAAGCAAAAAAAAAATTATCTGATCTAACTCTGATTTTGGTGCACCAAGAATCTTTATATATATCTGGAGTCTTTATATATAATATCATAACTCAGATACAGTTATTACTGATATCTCTTGAATTCTATAGCTTTTTGTGTCCTTCCCTTTGAATTTCATCCTCAAAGGTTAATTACCTGGAGTGTAGATCAAACTAAAGGAAAGAAGCCATTAAGTTATTCTCCTGAGATAGCAAATGTCACATTTTAAAATAGCATTTGTTTCTGAAACATTTGTATCTGTAACAAGTTGTGTCACAAAGTTTCTTAAAAATCTTTTCACACTGTAAAGCTTAAATAAGGAGAAACCAAGTATGTTAAAATTCAGTGAAATACTAGTCAGTGTTGCATTATGTCACAAATGCCCATTAATTATTTTTTTAATTGCTTGTACATCATACCATGTTCTTGCTGCTTCTGCAGAGGAACACTTTAACCTTGCTGAAACAGTTTTCATTATTGATTTCTCAAAACTCTGTTGTGTGCACCCTGGGACCAGGTGGGGTGTCTTTGAGGAGAGTGTACGAGTTGGGGGCTCCAGTGCAATGTAATTTAAACTACCAATACTGAGAGTTTTCACATGCTAAGCAGTGTGATTGAGCATTCTGGACCTGCAGTTCACCATGCACTGTTGTTCTTTCTAGGAAAATTCTGCAGACATAAAGCAAGCAGCTGTTCTAGACATAATTTGTAAGTAAAAAATTAATTAAAATAGCTTTTTTTTTTTTTTAGTAACTTGATAACGCCCTTAATTACATAGTGATTACTGCGGGGCAGTACAGATGCACTTGGTGTAAGCAGATCACATTTTAGATGAATCTTACTGGAGGTGACCTTGTTTAAAAAAAGCTCAAAATCAACAAAAGCATTTTTGCTTCTTCTGAGGTCTCAATAGATGTAAACTGTTGTAGCCCACATCCAGCACCCAGTTATAAATGCAGAGATACAGGTTTGTCTCTAGTGTGCACCAGACCCTAAAGCCAGTAATTCCATGCCCCAACAGGAAATAACAAAGGCAAAACTATCAGCAAATACTCCAGCTGGAACTCTTCACTCCAGTATTCATTCACAGCTTGATTATATAATAGTTTAAATCTCAGGGTTTCTTTTAACATTCTACACATCTCACATTTGAGTTTGGTCACTTTGGGTGAAACCCTTCCTTAAACATTGACCCTCAGGGATGCCCTTTGTTGGCTGCTCACTGAGTTACAAAAGAACTTCCCATCTCTTTTAATAAAAAAACTGTTTTATGTTTGCTGTGAATGGTAATTTAAGAATGCTGAATAAATTATATTCCATTATCAGAAGTAATCTTTTTGAAAGTAACCTGCCTGTAAGAGTATTGTAAAATTCTTTGTTCCTCCAATTACTTTTTGACAATACATTGTTATTGAGCAATTCCTGTCTTTCTTAGACAACCACATCTACCAAAACAAAAGAATATGGAGTGTTTACCAGATGAGAAAAACAGGTAAAATCTCTTTCCTTGCTTCTTTTCCTTCCTTCCCACAGTTCTCAGCAACTTACTGCTGTGCTGCCTCATATCCTACATTTTAAACATAAATATAGTCTCGTATGGATTTCTTCTGTAGAGATATTTTGAACATTTTACTGCAGTCTAGTATGGATTTTTCGATGGAGATATCTTTAATGTTTTTAGAATACTTTCTGTTAACTTCTCAAGCAGTTATTAGAAATTAGTGACTACTAATTAAATATTAACCTTTTCTCTATATAGCAATAATGAAGGTCAGACTTAACCCACATTTTGTATAAGGTTATGCAACTTCAGCTTTTTCTGCTTAATTTTCTTTCAGCAAAACTGAAAACATCTCTGAACTAGTTCTTTTACAGACAATTCTTACTTCTGGGTTGACTTTTTTCCTCATGTAACAGGAGAAGAATTGGAATATTTTGACTTAACAGATTTCAAAAAGAAATTTAAAAGGAGACTTCGGTCAGCCTTGAAAAATGTAAGAATAAATCCATTCTAAGTTTTGTTACACAGCTCTGGTGTCACTAGGTTGTTTTCATAACCTTTCCTCACAGTTTGTGTCGAAAATTAAGTGGAATTATTCATTTGGGAATGGTAGGAACTGCATGTGAAATAGGAAAAATGTATTGCCTATCTGTTCTAGCAACTTCACAATTATGCTGGAGGGAAATAAAATGTGAGTTTGTCTTAAAATGGGACTGACTTCAAGGAAAGCAGCATGGTGGTGTCTTCTCATCTTGAGCAGTGATAAATATTATACTGGGCTCTAAAATCACAAACTGAGCAACAGTTTAGTTTCTCCAAAAATGGACATACTGGAATTATTGCCACTAACCCTCCATCTAAACAGACATCTTTGTGTGTTGTTATTTTCCCAAAGGAGAAATCAAGGTTTTCATAATAAGCTGGTTTTATTTTCACCCTTCACAAGAAAATATATATTGACAGGAAGAAAAGTAGTATTAGAGTTCAAAAGATGATGCTTCTTTTTATCCCAGTTCGTGAGGTTATTGTTTTTCAGTGGAAATTTGATTCAAATCCAGCCCTGACCACACTTGGTGGGTTTTGTTTCTTATTCAAGCAGAGGTGTACTAAATGATATTTGGGGTTAAGAGAGTAGAAAATCTTTATGGCCACCGAAACGTGTTGGTAAATCAAAGCTTTTCTTTTTCTCTCAGGTCACCATCACCTTCAGGGAATATGAGGATAATGCCATCTGGATTCGGGTTGCCTGGGGAACCCCCTACAGACAACCCAACCAGTACAAGCCCAGCTACGTCGTGTACCACTCCCAGACTCCCTACGTCTTCATCTCGGCCTCGGTGCTCAGGAGCAACTTGCCTCTGCTGTGCCAGGTACACAGTAAAGCTGCTCAGCCCCTGACTTCACCACAGCCATGGGCAGCTGGGATTCTGTTAGCTTTCAAGAGGATGGGTCCAGATTCCTCACTTAACAGAATTTACTAAATTACTTCTTTTTTTTTTTCTTCTCCCTCGTGATAAAAATGGGGCAAAAGCCAAATCTTTGGATCGGTGCATCATGAATAAATTCAGTTCACTATGTTTTTTACTGATCCTAAATTGTTCTAATTCCTTAGCAAAGTGTAAGGCAGTGTTTGATTAAATTGTCTCATAGAAGTTGAAGAATATTACATCAACAGGGTTAAGCTGAAGAACTAAACACCTGAGCTCATCAGGGAATGCTCTTCATTAGTTTTAAAACACCTTTTCTGTTAACTTGTGATCAGTGTTGGTAGTCTTTTTTTTCTCTACTTAGCAAACTTCTGCAGTAGTAATTTAAATATTGTATTATTCTGTTTGTTTATTTTTCATCTGATAAGGCTATGGGGTTTATCTTGTTAATCCTGTGAATGCTTTTAAATATTAACCTGAGCTTAATAACAGTCTATGCAACATTTTTTTTCAGATACGAAAATCCTGCTGGTTAAAGGGCAGTTGCTTGAAACAAAAACATCACAATGTCTAGAAATACTATATTTTTGACATGTTATAAGCACAGTGGTGATTAAGAATGATGTTAAAACAATTTCAATTTTTATTCAAAGGCCCTGATTGTTGCTTCCAATTACCATGAGATTCGTGAAATGGAGCTTCGAAGTCATTCTTTAAACTCCCTTAAAGATATTGTGTTTAAGAGATATAGCCAGGTGAGCCACTTCACAAGTAAATCCTAAGATAAGTCTTGCTTTTTGTTTCAGGCCTAGTTCTCACCCTTTAGAAGGGGGGAAAATTCACCTTTTCCAAGAGACCATCAAGTTAAAATAATATTGAACTACTGAGGTGGACAGCCTTTCTTGAAGGTAACATTACAATGGGGATGTGATCACTTGGTATCCCACCTACTCTTTATTATTTTTTATTCCTGATGGCTAAACTCAGGCTAAAAATTACATGAGCAATTCAGTTCTAGGATTTTTTAGCACCATTCCCATGGCTTCTGAGAGCCATAAGTTGAAGGCTGTTAAAATGGGTACTTAGTCTGCTTGTCCATGTAAAACTTTTAAATAGGGAACTGTTAACAAATATCACAGGACAGGCATTTTTTTCCTCAAAATTAGGTTGGCTTTCTGACTTCTAGTACTGGTCAAAAATTGGAAGAATACTCACTTTGAGAATGAGAAGTAAAAAGAAATCTCTAAAGTTCTTTTCAGCTACAGCTTCTAAAAGTGGAAGTGAACTAAAATATTATTTTTTCTCTCTCCATTTAGAACTTCCAAACTTATTGTCCAAAACCTCTACAAGGAAGGACTGTAGAACCAGAAAGTGGTATGTATATTTGAAATGTCATTAGTGCTGCCTTGGGAAATGAGATTCATAACAGGAAGTTTACATAAGTTACATTCCCACTACATTATCCATTCCTTGTTCAATGCCCAGTATCTCACATTAGCTTGTGTTTTTCTCTTGGTAAGCACTGAAAATGTTAAGTGATAGAAACAACTACCTTATGACAAAAAGATGGTGATGAGTTTGTTAAAATTATTATTTTCAAATTTTCACCAGAGTAATCTGATCAGAAGAACAGTATTGCAGCAGCTGCCAAAGTTGTCTTTCTGTTTTCTCTTCCCTACTCTTTTGCCCTGCAGTGGATTTAAGGATAATTCATGAAAACAAAAGTGAGAAAGAAAGAATCCAGAGACTGAACCAGGAAGCTTTTGGTAATGGTCCCCAACCAATACTCCAATTTGCACAATATAAGGTAATAAAAGCAACCAATTTGGGTTTTTTTTTCATGTAGTGGTAGTTAAGCTAAATTTCAAATTGAAGAAATACTATGCTTTTTTAAACTTTAAAGAGGACATTTTAACATAAATTAATTAAAAGTCTCTCTAACAAACATATTTGCATTGAGATTTGGTCAGTCTTAGATCATGTTTCAGCCTCATGAACTCAGCATTTTGACTTGTTTTTGTAATAAAGGTAGACTTAAAGCAGTGTGTTGGAGCAGGAGCAGTGAGGGTTATTTGAAGCACATGCAAAGCTAATTCTCTGTATAACACCATAATTAACTTGAGTGATGCACAGCTTTTAGCTGATGATCAGGCATATTGACAATTTTAAGAGATACTTAATGTTTTACAATATTACTGAACAAGCTGCCTCTTCCCTCAGCAGAAAACTGCCACGTGGTGGCACCCTCTGATTTTATTACAACATTGCTCCAGCTGCAATCACGTTCATTACAAATGAGAAACAGCCTTATTGCATATCACATTTAAACGTTTAAATAATAACATATAAAGGAAATGTACTCATTGCTTATACTCCCTGGTTAAATTTTGTGTTTAACAGCTTGAGACAATGTTTAAAAGCAGTCCTGAAATGGATGTTTTGGATAAAAAAGAACCGTTCAGATGTCTGGTCAAGTTTTCCAGTCCACATCTTTTAGAATCACTGAAATCCTTGGCACCAGCAGGTAAGTGTTCCAATTCTATAAAATGGAGGGAAAATGCTGTTTAAAATTTTTTTAAATTTAAATATCTTGCATAAGGGAGAAACCTCATAAGTTGTTTAGAAACAGATAGGAGTGTAGCAGAATAAAAACATTACCACTTCAAAAACTTATATCTAACTATATCTTAAAATTACTAGTTTGTATATGGATACTCAAGCTGTGGTTTTAGTTTTGTGGTTTAGTTTTATAACACTTGTGAAAGGTAAATAATGGTTGAGTACAGCTGTAATTATTTGTGTCTCTCTCTCCAGGTATGGCTGATGCACCACTTTCACCACTCCTTACATGTATAACACAGAAAGCTAGGAATTATTTTAGAATAAGAGAGAAAAAAGGTTTATTTCCAGACAGTTTTGTAAGCCCTTAATTTTAAACTTGTTCATAGAGAAAAATGTAATTTGTTTTTTACTGCTATTAATCTAAATCATCATAAACTTTGAAACAGACTTTTAGAAAACAACTTATTCTTTGGTAATACCTTAAATTTTTTTTCCAATTTATGGCTTCTTTTAATTATTCTCCCCACAGTTGTCTTTAACAGAAATCAGCCCTTTCCTTGACTAATAAAAGAAGTCCATTGCGAAGTTTAAACAGAAATCGTGGTTATTCTAAATTTTAACGTAATGCCTGCTCTTAACTGTATTTTTAACAGTATTTGTGAGGTTAAAGCTCAGTGAAGGTGCAGTGACAGAGCTGTAGCTGCTCAGTTTGCTGTCAGAGCTGCAGGTGACTCTGAGATTGTTGGTGGCCCTTCTTATTGTGGCTCCAGTTCAGAGGGGTGGCACTCCCTGGCTGCAGCTCAGGCAAGTTTTTATCTAAATAGGTGAAGTTTGTATTCAAAGACCATTACAGGGCACGGGGAAGAAGGGACTCTTGGAATATAGATTCCAGTAAGAAGCTTCCATCCAGCTTCAGGGGATATTAACTCAAAGACCTTCTCAAGGGCAACAAGGGCAACAAGGGCAACAGCAAATAACAAATACTTAAGAAGGAAAAAAATCTGTCTTTGGTATTAATGTCTTATGAAACTTTATCTTGGAGGAGTACAATGAAACAGGCAATATTTTCTTTAGACTATTCAAATTAATATTTGATCCTTCTGAAACCCTTGCACGTTGCCACTTTTCTGTGCTTGGGGACAAGGACTGCAGGATCAAGATGGCAACAGTCACTAATGCAAACACCTTTGCATTGGAGTTCTTTGGAGTTGGGAAACATTGGGAATGTATAGATAGTTGCTGCATTTGGGTTTTTTAGATGGATTTGATCTCAGGATTCAGTTCTTGAGTACAAGTGTTTTCTCTTTAATTCTGTTACCTGGGCACTTTTGTGTGTACTTTGTGTAATGTGGGATTTCCAATTCACTTTGGATACCTCAGTGCTCAGAGGCAGCCTTATTTTGAGAGGTTGTATGGGCATGGTTTTGTTTTCAAACTGTAAATAAACGTGTAAATTAAGTCTTCTCATAACAGTTTGTTTGGCCTGACTTAGAAATACGACTTATCATATTCTGATGTTTGGTTTGGTTTTTTCTCTATAACTCACATTTTAAAAGAGGTTAGTTTAGGACTATCTGCTAGTGATATGGTTTTTAGGAATTCCACCTGATTTAAATCTTAGTTTGACAAAATCCTTCATGTTAGGATTCTGAAAGAATTGCAGGTTTTCTGTGATGGACACTGAGTTGGCTCTTACATGTCTCACTCACCCTCACAGAGCCTTCCAGGATTCAGGTCCATTAAGATTCCAGTGTGCATTTCACTCTCTGCTACTTGTTCTTCCTAATGCTCTCTCCCAAATAACTTAAATGCCTGAGATGACAATGATTTACCATAAAGGTAAAGTTCCCAAATGCTCTAAAACACTGTGAGTGCCTGGCCTAGTGCCTGTGCTTGCCTCTTGTTTCTGGGAAAGGCAGGCTCCATCCCCTTTTTAACAACCAAAACATTGGTATCTCTGATTTTCAGAGATATGTTTCATCTCTAACTTCCTGTAAGCAGGGATATTACAGGAACTGTGCAGCACTTCCAGGCAAGCAGGTGTGTATTTATTAATTTGTCAGAAAACACATCTGCAACTCCTGGGTTCCTTCTTGCTGAGCAAGTGTCCCCATGGAGAAGGTAAAGCAAGGGGGGAATGTGGAGACCAAACTTGTCTTCCTCGCTCCAGCTGGTCTCTTCCAATAAGTTGGAAGTTTGGGGTTGGACGAGATGACCTCTGTTCTGTGATAATCCCAAGCAGCAGAACCACATGGAGCTGTGGGGACAGGGGCTGGGGGATGGACACACAGTGTATGGCATAACCCTTCCCTGATAAATGGTGCACATGTTGTCCTTTAACTTGAAAAATTATAGGGGAAAAGCCACAGTGTTGTGTCATTGGTTCCAACATCAGTGAATCACAGAATATTCTGAGTGGGAGGGGGATCCACAACGATCAAAGTCCAACTGCTGGCCCTGCACAGGACAGCCCCAAGAATCCCACCACGTGCCTCAGAGCATTGTCCAAGCTCTCCTTGACCTCTGTCAGCCTTGGTGCTGTGCCCACTGCCTGGGGAGCCTGTTCAGTGCCCGACCACCCTCTGGGGGAAGAACGTTTCTCTAATACCCACCTAAACCTCCCCTGACACAACTCCAGGACGTTCGCCAGAGAGGAGATCGGTGCCTGCCCCTCCGCTTCCCGGTGCAACCCAATACCCGCAGCCCCCCCATTCCGAGGGCCGGCACGCGCGTTTTTCCGTGTGTCTCCCTGTTTCCCATGTGTGTGTCTCCCTGTTTCCCGTGTGTCTCCCGGTGTTCCCGGTCCGCAGCTCGGGCTGTTTTTCCCTCGGGCCCCTCTGGCATTGCCAGCGGCCGCCGCTAGGTGGCGCTGAGAGCGGGGGGCGGGGCCTCGACACGTGCCTCATGAATATTCGCCATCGGCGGCGCCGATTGGCCGCGGGCCCCGGAAGGGGCGCGGGGGGCCGAGCAGTGACAGCAACATGGCGGCGGCGGCGGCCGGGCGGCGTGGCGGGGGCTTGGGGCGGCCCCCCGCGCCCGGGCGGGACGGGCCGCCCGCCGCCGAGCTGGTGCGGCCCTCGGTCACCGAGCTGTCCCAAGTGCGGACCAACATCCTGTGCACCGTGCCCGGCTGCGGGAAGGTGCTGCCCAACAGTCCGGCCCTCAACATGCACCTCAGCAAGGCGCACCCGCTGCAGGTACCGCCGGGAGGCCGCGCCGGCCCCGCCGCCCCCGCCCGCTCGGCCCCGCGGGGCCGCCCCTCGGCTTGGCTGCGGGGCTCCCTCAGCGCCGGGGGCGGCCCCAGGGCCTGCGGCCGGCCCGGGTGCGGGTCCGGGGGGCGGCTGCGGCGGTGGCTGTGCCGGGGTTTGGTTCGCAGTGAGACTCGGGGGGGGTGTGATTCCCCACCCCGAGGAGAACTGGGATTCTCTGGAGAGAATCTGAGAGAACTGAGATTGTTCAGCCTGGAAAACAGGAGGTTTTGTGGTGACCTAATTGGGCCTTCCAGTACCTGGAGGGAACTTAGAGGAAAGATGGGGCACGACTGTTTACAGGAGCGTGGAGTGACAGGACGAGGGGAGTGGGTTCAAACTTAAAGAGAGTAGGTTTAGATTAAATATCAGGAAAAAATTCTTCCCTGTGAGGGTGGTGAGGCCCTGGCACAGGTTGCCCAGAGAAGCTGTGGCTGCCCCATCCCTGGAAGTGTCCAAGGCCAGGTTGGACGGGGCTTGGAGTAACCTGGGATAGTGGGAGGTGTCCCTGCCCATGGCTGGGGTGGAATGAGATGGGCTTTGAGGTCTGTTCCAAACCAAACCATTCTATGATTCCAAACGGGAATAACAAAGTGTTTCTCCTTGTCTCTTGTTTAAATCTCCCCGTGGGAAAGGCCCCTGCAGGTGTGTGTGTGTGCACAGGCTGACCAGTCATGTTGAGGATTCCTCTAAAATTACTTACAGAAAATAACGAATTTTAAGCATTTTTATAAACGTACCCCAGGCAGTCAAAAGTTCTTTGGGGCTCAGTTTCTGTTGTTTCACTTGCTTATCCCTTATCTTTCTGCAGTAAGACTTTACAGCACCACTTGTGAGGTGCTGTGCAAACAGGCAGCATTTCCTACCCTTATCAGCTGTCAATCCGCCTTCATCCCAGTGCCGAGAGCTCTTAGGTGGAGTTTTTGTTTGTTTTTTTTTTTTAAAAATAGCTGAGTCAAAAAAAAAACCCAAACAGATGGATGCCATTTTGGAAACAAGCCCTCATTTCCATAGTACTGCTGAGAAAACACAGCATGTGCTGGTGGGGGAGGAGAGCCACAGTTCGTCAGGCACACATCTGAGTGTGGCCCTTCCAGAAAGATATCCCTGGTCTTCCCAAAATCATAGTGCCAAGCGTGCCAGGACAAATCCTATTCCTGGAAAACTGCGTTCTGAGAGTGCAGCCTCAGCAGCCACACAGTAAACACCTTTGTTGTGTGAAATGGTTAATTCAGGAGTCAAGTGTGGGTTCCACGTGCTCGTTGGTGATGAACAAAAGGGAGCAGTGTTCGGTGCACTTGCTGTCTGCTATCTCTGGGATGTTTTCATTTCGTTTGCTGACATGCACTGACAACTTCTAGTGTGGGTTGTGTGTTAGATCTCACGTGCTGGTGTGAGGGGAGGTACAGCAGGAGTTGGAAGTGTTCTCTGAGGTCAGCAGAGGCATTTTGGTTGTGAGCTGATGCTCTGGGAGTGCAGTGCAGCTGGTGGGTTACATAACCCAGGGTATGACGGGTGAGGAGATGCTGCTTTCTCACCCAGCCTCTGTTAACCAGCTCCTGTGCCTTGTGGAATTATAGCCTGCTTCAAACACCTAGTTACTGGATCTTGGGGTAGCTTGGAATAAATACTGAAATGTGGATGGATGCAGATTCACAGGAACTTCTTGACTTGTTCCGAGGGCATCGTAATTAAGAGTAAAAATGTTGCTGAGGCTTAAGGGAGGCTAAATATTTTAGTATTGGTATTTCCTATTAAGAGAGAACTGATTCCCCAGACAAAAAGAATTCAGTAGATTGCATTTGTTAGTGAGACATGAAATTAGTGAAGAGGCACCTTGGCAAATGAGAGGCTAAGAAGCTCTTGGGGAAGGAGAGAAGGTGGTACTACTGAGGAGAAGGGAGGCTGACTTGGTTAATTTTCATGAATAAAAGCAGCACCAGAAGGATTTTTTTGACACCAAAACCCATGAGAGGGATTGCCATGGCAGAGGAAGGACATTTATGTAGGAAGGTAACATTACCCTGTAAAAACAGTCAAGTGCAGCAGTACAAGGTTATAGTCTTGTGAGGTGATAACAAACAAATTGATTATTTCTGTTACACACCAGGACTAACTTTTGATGGGGAACACTGGCAAAAGCAATTTGGTCATACAAGGATGAGCATTTGGGGTAATGCTGCTGTGAGAAGGGCAGTCCTAAAATATCACAGAAGGATGTTCTCTGTCAGTGCTGTAGAGTAAAAATCTGATTTAAATATGTCAAAATGAACCCAGAAGAGCTGTAGAAAAGAACTACTAAGGATGATGAATGGCAAGTGTGTCTGACAAAGGGGAATTAGAAGAATTTGGCTTGTTTGGCCTAACAAAGAAGATATGATGAATTGTTGATATATAAGTTTCTATTTTCTGGTTCCTTGGCTTAATTAAGCCAATAATAAAAAATGAGAGCACTGGGTATAAAATGACTCAATATCTTAGACTTGAATTTTTCATTTTAATTTGTTGGTCTTTTGTCTGTACTATCTTATGGGGAGAAGGGGAAGACTTCTGTGTAGTTTAAATGAAGCTGGAAGAGTTCATGTGAAGGTAAGGATTCTGTGGATTCCTGGGACAGCAGGAAGGCTGTAGTCAGTGGTGCACTGGAAAGAGTAGCATACCCTTGGGGTAGGTTACCCACTACTGCACTGCCACAATAGTTTTTATAATAAAAATAAATGCGCTTCTCTCCATGTCCTATTTAGTAAAGAAATGCAGGAGCTTCTGCTGCAAAAAAATATGTTTTAAATAGTTGGTTACGGTCCACTGCAACGTGATTTTAAATGCATCTTTTGGAGTAAGCCTTGCTGTGGCAGGAAGGCAAGATGTTACTGAGTTCACCTTGGCTAAGTCGGTGGCCAGGATTGTTAATTCCCATTTTTTGTGGTGTTGCCACAAGCCATGTCAGCATTCCTTACAGTGCAAGTGCCTGCACTGGGAGGAGTTAATTGAACATGTATCTGCTGATAATTGTGGTGAGTGGATATTGTAATAACGTGGAACATAAAATCAGATATGCAAGGAAGGGACTTGTGAGAATGTCTGAAATATGACTGGCCAGGTGGGGTTTGAGAAGGTGCAAGATTAATCATCAGGAGGATTTGGAAGAGGCGAAAACAAGATTACTGTCCATATAGGGTTTCTTATATATGTAGAGTATCTCTCAACTTGCCACCACAACTTCGTTGTGGTCTATGCCACCAAAGTCTGTGTTCCAGCTGTTAAAAAAGCATCTCACTGATGTTTATAAAGCTTTTAAACACTTGTTATTCTATACTTTGATATTTCAGTAGTTTTAAATAACCTGATTGTGGTTTACCTGTTCAGTGCCTGCACGTTTCCCATATTGGCTTGTCATTTGTTGGGTTGTGGCATTAAATATAACACACTTAATAACTTTTTACTTAGGAATAAGTAACTCCAATTGCCACTTAGTGTATTGATTTCATCTGCAGTGGGAGAAGCCAAACATAGCTTTGACTTAAAAGCAAATCTTTTTTTTTCTCCTCAAGACTTCAAGACTGACTTTGAATCAAAATGTTTCTGGGTAAACTCAGGGTTAAAAAGTATAATTGGGGCTGGAACAACTAGATTTGTTTGAGTCATGTTCCTGTTTTGGGCAGTGGCTGTAGGAGGTACAACAACAATCACAGTGATGATTCAGCAGAGATAAAACAGGCCTGTTTATGAATGGGCTGTCCATGGGGAAAACTGCTGTACATAAAGATGCTTAGAAGGTTAAAATGTTACATGGTTAAAATGTTACATGAAAAGTCCCTTTCTAGAGGCTTATTCCACGTTTTCATGATGAAATGGCAGCTGATTATTTTGGTTGAGAGGCTCTAAACGTCACTTCTTTGAGTATGGTCTGTCACTAACAAAAATGAACGTGCAGCAGTGTCAGCAAGGAGCAGTGTTGGGTGTGTGGAAACATAACTGAAATACTGCTTGAAGGGATTACATTTTACACAGAGTGCCTTGGCTTGAGAGGTGATTTGAGGGAAAACAAAATAATCTTGGCATTTTTAATTTCATTACATGTAAACTCTGAGTGGCAGAGAATTCCAGTGGCAACAGAATTCCAGCATCACAGAAGTGTTGTGTTACACAGTGGAACCTCAAGTACTAACAAGTAAAACCCATGGAATCAGCAGTCTAGTGTATTATCTGTATGGAAAACTTTTTTTGGATCAAAAAAATACAAAATGTGGATTTAATTAGCTTGGAGCAGTGAGTATCCTAGTAAAAGTGAGTAGTACAGTACCACTACTCCATAGAGCTTGTTGTAATTGCACTTGGTACTTTTGATGGGATATTTGCAAAGTGGCATCCACGGGGGGAAAGCTCCATGTGAACTTTCAAATAGCTTAGGAAAGTGCCTTCAACTCATTGAGGTGTGTGAACTCAGCCGGAGTTGATGTGTATTCTGAATATAGTCTTTAAAGTGCAAACCCATAGAATCGTCAACTTCTCACCTGGTTCTTTTTCAGGATGGAAAACTTAATGCACCAATAAGGAAGGGGTTGAAAACTTCACAGAAATTCTACTGCTGTCCTATTGAAGGCTGCCCTAGAGGACCAAACAGACCATTTTCCCAATTTTCTCTTGTAAAACAGGTATTCCTGTTTCGTGAAGTATTTTCGCACTGGTTTAGTCCTGACTGTCTCTACTCTGCTTTTGCACTCAGATATCATCAAAGCTTCTCAGCATGTCTGCAGAAGTTAAAGAACTGTAGGCAGAAACTCCAATGTGCATGTGGTTAATGAATTTGCATGTTTGCATGTTGATATTAGAGGACTTGAACCTTTTGATCAGGCAGATGCCAGTATGTTCTGCTGAACTGGAATACAGCCCCTCTCCACAAATTAGATGGAGAAAGATCAAAGGGGGAGGGAATCACAGTAGCAACCAATAAAGGTTTAAAATGTGGCTGATGCTTTTAACTGCTTTTTCAAGTGGTCGAGAAGGGAGAGTTTGTCTCTGCTTTATTATCAAAATGCATTTGTTTATCAGTTACCTGTTTAAGAAAACATGTAAGACTTGTTTTCTGAGTGAGTGAGCACAAAGAGCTGGTGCTGCTGGTGCTTACCAGCAATGAACTGGGGAGGCTGTAGGGTTGGAGTGGCTGGCACTTTGTGCCATAAATGAAAAGGAAAAATCCTGGTGTTTGCTCTGGTGTTGACCTGTATGACTTGAGATTATTTGCTCAGTTGTAGATCTTCAGGAGTGTGCACATGTTGCTACATAGACTTACTGTGCTCTGTGGCAAGATTGATCTGTAGATTTATTAATCTTTTTCCATAGGAAGCTTTCAGTGGCTTTAAGACAGTTAAATATTTTTCTGTGGTTTAAGATACATCTAGCACAAGCAGATTTGCCAACTTTTAATTCTTTCTGTAGTTTTCTTTAAACTTGTAACTTATTAGTAGTAAGACTTTAAAGAAAATCGCTACTCTTCAGTGCTACTTAACAACTAAAAAATTGCAAATATTTATGTCTCCCCTAAACATGATTTTCTTCTCTTTTATCTTCACTGCAGCTAATGTTTGCTTTCCCTTGTGTGTTCTAGCACTTTATGAAAATGCATGCCGAAAAGAAGCACAAATGTGATAAATGTAGTAACTCCTATGGCACAGAATGGTATTTGAAACGGCATATAGAGGTCTGTGGCAAGACTTTCCAGTGTACTTGTGGGTGCCCCTATGCCAGCAGAACAGCATTGCTGTCTCACATTTACAGGACTGGCCATGAAATCCCTGCAGAACACAGGTAAAAGTGAAGCAGTTCAGTAATGGTAACATTCATCCCCAAGTGCTGTGTCTCCCATGTGCTGCCTTTTTGTCTCCTTCCTGTTGGTTACATTGAAAATGGCTCACGTTGGCTTAGCTGGGGAGCAGTTTGCAGTTTCTTTGTTCTGGGGCTTTTAGGAGTTTGTGTTTTGTTGAAGGCAGTGGCGATTTGTCTGATCAGTAAGATCAGGTTTCCCTGTGTATAAAACAAAAAGCACTGATGATGCTGCACTGCCTGGCGTGAGTGCTGATGGCTCTTGTTGCATCTGCTTTTACAGTTCCTTGAGAGTAGAGATGATTTGTAGATGTTTATAGCTGGTCACTGAGGTGTGGAATGCAGTTCAGGTTACTTTCTTTTATAGTTTAGTTGTCTTTGCAATTATTAGTGGATTCTTTTTTTACCACCTATTTTTGTATGTTTAGTTTCACAGTTGTTTTAACGTGTGCATATATTTCATAAAGGGCACTCTGCTTTCTGAGGCCTAGACTGTCTTTCTTGGAGGTTCAGCTGCTGCTAAATTAAGTTTTGAGTGAAGGAGTGCTAATTGTCTGTGCAGTTTCTAGACCTTTACCTGTACACTGATGTTAAGAGCCCTGTGCCTTCAGTGCTCAGTCTGAGTTAGCATCAAAGTAACACATTAAACATCTTCAAATCAGAGTGCCTAATGTGCAAGAGGCAAAAAAACATCTAAACCTCCACCTCCATTTAGAAATAGGTCTCCATAAAAAAGGTAGCCTTTTTTCTTTGTTTTAAATGAGTGAGGAATGACGTTTAACAAAACTGAACTTTATGATTGTCTTCTCATATCCACCCTCATCTGTAACTTCAGTTTGTATTTTCAATGCAGTGATGCAAAAGAATGGAAGGCAGATGTTCTGTGCTTGAAAGAAGTATAAATTATTGATCTCGTGTTCACAGGGATCCTCCCAGCAAGAAAAGGAAAATGGAAACCTCCGCACACAATCAGCAGCTGGCAGAGAAAGCAAACGAAGCGTTCATCAGTACCCACAGTAATGCTCCTGGCACTCAGGAACTGGAGTCCTCTGAAGTGAAAGCAGTGGCCTCTCTGGAAGGCTCCCACAGCTCTAACTTCACAAACCAAATGCAGCCCAAATGCACCCCGAAGATGCTTTTGCCCAAGCCCAAGGTGGCTTTGGTTAAAGTCCCGGTGATGCAGGTGGCTCACTTGCCTGTTTATGTGTCTGCCACAGACCCTTCTGTCAAACCTGCTGTAGTGGCTGTTGATAATCAAGGTTCAGTTGTAAGTACTGTTCATTTGTTGCCTCAGTCTATAGGAATTCTGATTCCAGCCCTGGAGGCAGAGACCCTTGTGTTTAAGGACAGTATGCCTGTGTCAAAAGTGACAAGTGCTGGTGATCGGGAGCCTGTGAGCACTGGTGTGCAAGTGGAGCTGGATAAGGTTACACCAAGTAACACAGGGCAAGAGATGGGCACTGTTTGTCACAAGAACAAAATTTCTTCCATAAATATACAGACTGACTTATCTTATATTTCACAGAACTTTGTCCCAGCTGCAGCCTGGACTCCCAACTCTTGTGTGTCCTCCTGCTCTCAGACAGATCTGTCCTTCAGCTCCCAGGTTTCCTTGCCCATCAGTGTGCAGACACAGACACTGCTGCCTGCTTCCAAACTGACTTCATCCATAGCAGCTCAGACCGATGCTTTCAGTCAGGGGTGTTTCCCAACATGTGGCGTTTCTAGAGAGACTCAAACCAGTAGGACACAGGATTGTATTGATGGAAGAGTTCAGATGGACCAGGCTGTCATGTGCAGTGACATCTTTGACAATGTCCCTTCGTCATATAATGTTTCTACTCACATTGATCTTCCAGAAAACAATTTAATGCCTGCAAATATAGATCAAACCTTGCTGCAAAGAACTAATTGCAAGAGCCTGAATCAGGACACGGTGAAGTCTGAATCCCTGATCAGCTTCACTACACAGACTAATATACTTCCACCTCAAAATACAACGGATAATCAAACCCAGACAATGGACCTGCTAAGTGATCTGGAAAACATCTTTTCAGGAAACATGTCTGGCCAGACACTGGATAATCGTGGCCTTTTGTCTGAGACGAGTTCTAATGCTGACACACATCTGCCATCTGGTCCCTCACAGAGCACAGGGATAGACTTCGACATTGAAGAGTTCTTTTCAGCATCCAATATCCAAACTCAGACTGAAGAGAGTGAGCTTGGTACCCTAAACTCTGAGCCAGTTTTGGAGTCACTGGACATTGAAACTCAGACTGATTTCTTATTTTCAGATAGTGCCACTCAATCCTATAACTGCCGAGGCAATTCTAACTTCTTAGGTTTGGAGATGTTTGATACACAGACACAGACAGACCTGAATTTCTTTTTGGACAGTACTACCCACCTGCCTTTAGGAAGCATTCTGAAGCAGTCCAGTTTCTCCATGAGCACTGACTCATCTGATACAGAAACCCAGACAGAAGTGTACGTGGCTACTAAAACCACACCTACTCAGAATATTGAAAGCAAAGTCCAGCTCAGCAGTGCTGAGACACAGACTATGGATAGCTGCTTTGAGAACCTGGGCAGTTTATTCCTCACCAGCAATGAGACACAGACAGCAATGGATGACTTCCTTCTGGCTGACTTAGCCTGGAATACAATGGAGTCCCAGTTCAGCTCAGTGGAAACACAGACCTGTGAAGAGCTGTGCTCCTTGTTCCAGAGCTCTGACAAGCCCAGCCACTGAGTGCTACGTGATATAACTGTTCCCTGTGGTTTGAATTTAAGTTATTGGGGTGGGAGATAATGGCTTTACCAAGTGATCCACTTCGCATTATTGAATGTAGTTGTCATGAGCAGTTGACCTAAGAGACTTTTCATGCTGAAGGTACTCTCTTGAATATGTGACTTTACATAAACTATGTGTGTATAAATGGGGGGGAAGGGAGGGGGCTGTAACATGTTGATGTACATTTGAACCTTAAAAATTATGTGGTGCCTATGTTTTTTCCTCAAACTTCTTTACAAAGCTGTTACTGCTTTCATTTAAATGGAAGAACTTTTTGAAGTTGTTCTCTATCTCTCTCTCTCTCTATTCCTGGCTTACATGCAGGGTTCCCATGTGCTGGACCAAAACCCTGACCTGTTCAGTTGAGATGCTTCCCTGAACTTATGGGGGAGGATTCTATTTTTAGTGTAAGCTACTTCTGTTTACTTTTTTTAGTAGCTTGTATTTTAAATCCGGCATGAACATAATAAGCCGCATTGTCTTCTTTTACTTTCTGCCTTCACAGCTCTTTCTCCTGCATAAGCTGACACTTCCCAAATACCTGTCCTACACACTAGACACATAGAGATTCTCGAATTGTTGAACATATTTATTATTAAAAATATCTAGAAAGCAGTACCTTTTTTTTTTTTCTCTCCCTGAGTGGCACTGATGCCCTTTGAAGGGTAGGAAAAGAACTTGGAGTTCATAGTTCTAGGGAAAATTAGTATGTAGTCCTTTTAGCTAAGGTAATAAATGGGACTAACATTTTTAGAGTCTCCAGGGGGGATTTGCTTAAATTATTTCTGTCTGTAAGATACAAATGTTACAATGTGTGTGCCTCAGAGACTGGAATCATTTGTTTTTGCTGAAGTTCTCTTAGCTTTATTGCAATACAAGTTGAGAAATGTTACAGTGGTTTATACCTCTCTTACCTTAACAGAAATCTTTAAAAATGGGAAATTAAATTCCTTAAAACACTCACTCACCTCGACTCCTGTTTTTGGACTTCCTGCTTCCAAAAACAATTGGAATCCATACAGCAGAGCTGGGAAATCAGCTCACAGAGGCCCTTTCAGAACAGCTCTATCTTGCTTTTGCACGTTGATTCACAGCCCTCAGTTCCTGCAGCTTTTAGAGTTTCCCTGAGTGTAGTCAAATTCACACAACCCGATTTTTCAGACAAGAAACATCTGACCTCTTGGAATCTTTTTTTTTAATGTTTATTTTGCCCCTCCTGCCACTGTCTGTGGTATTTTTCATTGGCGTGAGAATACGTGAGTTGTGAATGTATGTTGGAATTTGGCCTTAAGTAATTTTTATCTCTTACTATAATATCTGTGAAATGTAGGCCTCTGGTTTTGTCCTGGACAGGTTTTAGCTTCTGTAACCTTAAAGGAAGGAGAAACCTCTTCGTGTCAAACTCCTGGGCCTGTAACAGACTTTACTCCTCCCTTGTCAGAGGAGAAGTGCTGGCTGTGTATTTACTGTGCAGCCCATCAGCAGATGGATGTCCAAGCCTTAGGTTTTGAGGACTCTCTATGCTCTGTGCTGCACATTCTCAACTCAAGGATGTGGGAGTTAAGTTACTCATCCGTTGCAGGCAGCTTGTTTTGGTTGAAAATGAGCAGTACCCTTCTTTTTTCCTATTTTTTGTCTCTTCCTAACACTCTTTAAATTGCCATAGTTAACATGCTGATATGGTGAGCATCTCGACCTTTACTGGAAATAATTTCTTTATATTAACCCTAAAACTCCCGTTTTCCTCCTGAAATCCCAGCTGTGTTGCCTGTTTAATTTTTCAGCGTTTCTGGGTAGGAGTTCAGACACTTCCAGTCTTTGGCTGAAGAAACTGCAGAAAGGAATCTTCAGCTCCCCAGGAGCACAGTAATTCTGCTGTGGGGAAAGGCCCCCCAGGTTTCACAGTGTCTAGAGTTCTGATCTGAAAGGTGGGATATATTAAAAAAAGGAAGGCATCACTTGTAATTTTGTTTCCTTTGAAGATATGACTGTTTTATATTTACCTGCCTACTCTGAAACTGGGAAATAAGATAACAAAGTTTTTTCTAGCAATGTTGCATCTTTACATTTCAAAATGTTTTTCCTTCTTCTTTCTTCCCCTGGATGGAATACCAGAGAACACTTCTCCATACCCAGACTTCTCTGTTTCCCACAGAAATGCCTGAAAGAGAAGGTGTTACTGTGAATCTGGTTGGGGAAAAGGGTATTTTCCTCAACTGGCAGAAATGAGAAACTTCTTTACCTCTGAATGTAGAAAGTCAGTCCTTTTTTCTGCAAGAGAAGGAATCTTAGGTGCTGAAGAGCAGAATTGCTGAGGGGTTTGAGTTGTAGCCATCTGAGAGACCAGCTGGCATTTAAATTCCCTTGAAACTCATTTACAAATTAGAGTGATAATTGCCACAGTTCTTAATTCTTAACATTGGGGACCTCCAGAAAAAAAACCCACAGTTTTGTGTGGACAACCTTACAATGTAATCATTACCCAGTTATTGTACTTTGTAATTAAAAGTATTTATGAGCTTTGTGTGCTTTACTAGAACATGCACATCAGAATAGTTTCATTCATCCTCTGGATTTAAAACAGTTTGAACTTTAATTCGGTGAACACAGTACTACGACATGAAATCATTTACTGAAAGTGCAGTACTAAGAGGTAATTAAATATGTCTGCACTGTCTTAGGGAAGTGGCTCATTCTGACCAAAATTAACGTTTTTCTTCGCAAAATTGGTTCTCCATAAATTATTCATAGAAGTCAGAAACGGGTCTGGATCCTGTGTTGTTGGCTTAAGTCGCTCAGTTTGGATTTATTAAGTATTTTTGTGAAAATGTGGAGACTGCAACCAGACTTCACAGTGTGGTGAATCCCACAGTAAGCATCATGAAACCTGATCTGAAATACTGTGCCTGAATATTGCCATTCCTTCACATCTGAACAAGTTCTTGAAAAAGGCTAAGTTTCTGTTTTCACCATGATTTTAAAAATAAACTTCAGTCAGAACTATTTCTTGGTAGAACTAAAATGATACTTATCTCCCTTTTTCTGCAGTTTGTCTCTGATTTGGTTTTCAAGGCACTGTCTTATTGTAAGTATTGGTCAGCAGTGACTCCTTTACTTGCTCTCTTCTGTATCCTCTGCTGCCATTAGAGCTGCTCTTCAGAAAGTAACATCAGATTCTCCACAGCCTTTTAGCACAGTTGTGTATCTGGAAGTGATACTAATGTTACTTGAGCTTACTCTGTGCATTTTCTGCTTATTTCCATTATGCTGTGATTGCTAGATCTTGATCTGGGTGCCTGTGTAATGCTATTCTAAAACTGAATTAGTAGTTTTGTAGTTTGATTTGAGCTTTTCTTTAGTATATAAAGATTCAAACAAAGGAAACAGCAAATTTGGGACTTGCATTCTATGAGAGCATAAGCACAAACAAGCTGAAAAATGAAACATCTGTCTTGTTGCCTCCCATATTTGTTTGTCACAATGCTAAAAGTTTGTATGACAGTAGATGTTTCTTCTACTTGTGGCTTTATTTGCATCTATTTCTGCTAATACACTTTTAAATACTTTCTGCTGGGGGTAGGGAGGGAGTCCCCCCCAAACTCTTTGTGTTGGCCTAGAGAAATTGGTAGTTTTAAGTCAGAGTTTGCTAATGCTACACATTCTTAGCTATGCAAAGCTGCTTGTGTCTAGAAAATTTTGACTTCCAAAGCATATGAAAGCATTAAAAAAAATGTATATATACCTGCAGCTGTAAATAGCTGTAAACCAAGCCTTGTGAGACCTCGTCTACTTTTGATCAATCCAGTCAGTGTCTGTAACTTAATGTATGTAACTAACTCCTCACAGATTTTTATTCCAAGGCTCATACAGAGTCATTTTTTCTGTTGAAAACAAGAGGCTGAATTTCCCTGTTTGTCACACGGACCTTGGTTGTGTAGGGGCAGCAGAACAAAGAATGCCTTCCCCTGTTCTCAGTCCTGCTCCTGCTGGCACGTGCTCACGGGCTGAATTGATTTTCTTGAGAGGCTGGGTAGAAATGTAAGTGTTGGCAGGATCGGGGTCTTAAGGGGTTAGGAGATTTTTTTTTTTTTAATATCCTTTCAAATGTAGGGTAAGTCAATAGAACTGATACTGAATCAACTTAGGGTGCTCAACTTGCAAAAGAACATGTTCCTGAAATGACAGCTCAGAGGTGAACCAAATGTACTTGCCTTTGTTGTTAAGGTTGTACAGCTTCCTTTGCTTTAATATATTTCTGACATGTGCTGGTTTTTTAAACATGATCTTAATGTACAATTTACTGTTCCAAATACATTCACACCAAAATGTTGGTAACATTCTGGGCCTTGCAAGCTTTTTTCATTCCTTTTTGGTTTAAGGTGCTGCTATGATGTGTCCTGGTAGAATGGACCTCCTGTGAGCAGGCTGCATTTAGTAATTATGAACACTAAGAGGATGTTCAATGGTAGCAAACTTCAGTGCAAGGTGCAAACACACATCCTCTGTTTCTTTTGTTGTTTTTTTAAGAGTTGATGTGATTTTCGAGGTGTGCTGGAAGGACTTGCTGCTTAGGGCACGACTGAATTCTCCTGTTTCAAATGCCATTGCTATGCAATGAACAGAACCCAGCCCTGAGCTCTGCAGTCGGGGTTGGGGTTTGTGTGAGGGAACATTTGTGTTTGTGTGAGGGAATGTTTGTGTTTGTGTGAGGGAACGTTTGGGTTCGTGTGTGTGGCTCCTCCACTTCCCCACAGATGGCACGGACAGCCCAGAAGCTCCTGAAGGAACTGCCGAGTGGAATAACAGAAGTCCCTTTGTTTGTGATCCTTTTTCATATGCTGGCTTTACAGAACCTTCAACAATATGATAGATGACCTGTGGTGATGCAAACTGTGCGTTTCACAACAGCCAGTGCTTTACATGCCTGCTTCAAGCACCTGCACGCAGAGCTAGAGTGACAGCACTTCTATCTACAGGTACTTGCAAGTGCATCTGTGATAAAGCTAGATATGAAAGCCATTTTTCTACAGCTTAAAGAATTCAACACCTGATTAGGATCTCATTGAAACTTGTGATTATTTTGAATGGATGAGTAATAAATCTCATGGGTGAGTCCTTCCCAGAGCATGTGTGAGGTAATCTCAGCAAGGCTGAGAAATGTCCTTAAAATATTTTTCTTTTCTTCACCAGTGGGATTTTTTTATTTAGTGGACAAATTTAGTTTCCAAAGGATGTTCATGTTTAATTCTTGCTGTTTAAGCCAGTAAACTTGCAATGAGCAGACAAAATCAAGCATTCATTTCTTAGACCTATTTTACAAGTGACAATCCCAAAGAAGGAATGTTGTCCTAGTAACTGTGAAACTTTTAAGTATATTATTGCATGCAGAGAAAACCTTGTGCCAAAATACTGTTTCATATTTCCCTCTGTTGGAAACTGAAGTGTTACACAAAGCTACGAGTAAGTTATTCACGAGTGTTGAAACGTTTTGTTCACAAATGAAGCACTTATTTAGTCCTGTAAATTATACATATTTTGGAATAAAGTTAACTTCAATCAGTTTTTGCCTTCTGTTTTAATGGCCATGGTCTCCTGCCTGCAGAGGCCTGGGGGGGGGTTCAGTGCCTATTGGCAAGTAGCACCCATTGCTCCTTGACATCTTACCTTTTGAATTGGTAGAGGTTCTGTAAATGAAAACGATTACAATGTCAGTCCTTGATCTCTAGAGGTGGCAAAAAGGTTCTTCATCTCAAACCTCTCATCAGCATGTGCAAAATGCAATCTTTAATTACCTTGTATGTGCAGTGGAATGAAAAGCTCTGCAGTTTCAGCTTTCTGACAGGTGCTTTCTACAACAGACTCTCAGGACAGGATTCCTTTGCCTTCTTCCTCAGCTTTACTATCCACCCCTCCTGTAGTTTTTAAGATCTCCAGTGTCATAACATCAAGTAGAAATTCAGCTGCCTTGGGATGATTAGTTTTCAAAGTATCCTCTAAAATTACAGTCTTCTCTAACAGCTTACATTATTTTGAAATATATTTTATATAACAAAATATTGTTTGGTTTGAATATGGGTGATACTTTGTCCCTTTTCTTCCTGTACAGTTCCCATGCTTAGCAACGACCCCACCATTTTCTGTTAGTTGGAGGATACAAAATGCTGATTTCTATTGTTCCCTGTAAATCTCGTGTATGTGAGTCAGAGGAGGTGACTGAGCTCCATCAGCTGTAGCCATGAACGAAGCATTCCCAGATGGACAACAGCAGGCTGTGTTCAGTCCTGTCATGCCCCAAGGTGAGCATTTACACACAGCAGCATTCAGGTGTTTCCAGAGGGGAGTATGGCATAAATATCTAGAAAATTCCTATTCAGAGCATTCAAAATTATGGAACAGTCAGATGTGTAAGATCCTTTTAGGACTAACAGCCCTATTCCCCTCATAGGGATGATTCTGCTTTAGTTTGTGTTTATGAACTGCTTTCTTGCCTGCTGCTGCTGAGAATTATTTATTCTGTTGGCAGTGAGAGTGTCCCTGCCTGGTTTGGGTTCAGTTCCTGGATTTCCTTCACTTGAAGGAATTGCATGCTGGCAAGCTGATTGTTTTCTCTCAGAACAATGGAATTAGAGGCACATTTTCCTTCTGGCTCCAGGATTTGACAGCAAGTCCTCTGGATTTAATCCTTTGAAAGTTTGGACCTAAAACAATAGGAGAAAAATGTTGATTTAACTTTCAGGTGTTCCATCATTGTATTTTTAATTGTTGTCAACAGTTCACTTGTGTTTTGGCACCTTGGATGCAGGAAGCACTTCTGGCTGGTCCAGCCCTTAACTTGATTTCCTTTCCTTGAACAGGAATGGTGTTTTTCTTGAGAGGACTCACACAAAAACAAGAAGCTGCTGTTTCCTGTGCTAGAAGAACCCAGTGTGTTCAAGGGCACATCACTTGATTGACTTAAGATGGCTGAAGTGTGGGTTTGTTTCTTTATGTTCTAGGCCTTTACTCAGCAGCTTTTCTGGCCTTTTGCTCCAGGTCCTGTAGCAATAATCAGTGACTGTGGTTCATAGGAATGTTATCTTCCATCAGGTTGTAGTAAAAGCTCTGTCTAATCTGTCTGATTTGACACTGAAAAACTACATTGATGCACATATTTATTGGTAAAAAAAAAATAAAAATACCTTGAATTCCTCCATCTGTTTTAAAGTGGAAATCGTGTGCCATCAGGAGCTTTGCACAGGTATTATCTCTCCCTATCCCAAGTTTTTATCAGAGCATCAAAAGAAGGGAAGAGTCAGTTGCAATGAATCCCTGTTCTGAATGCTGAGTTGAATTGCAGTTACCTGTGTATCTGTGGGAAGTGCTGTTTTATTTTGTATTTTGTCTAACACAAAAGCAAAAGAGAACTTGATCTGAAAGTCCCTTATCTAGTATGAGCTGAAACAAGAATAAGTGGCCACCAGAATGCAGAGGGTACATATTAAACAGAAACAAGCAAAGAACACGTTAACAGGACTTAAAAAATGAATCTACTTAGAATGAGTAAGAAAAAATGATTCTGTCAGTGCCACCACTGTGTGATTTCCAGGTCATTTCCATTTCTTTTAGGTGACAAATGAGCAAGGAATGCATGCAAATGTTTATCTGAAGCTCAGTAGGACTTAGCAGTCTTAAAGTTCATAATATTATTAAATGCCTTGCAGAGTAGCCGTGGATTTAAGAATATTCCTAAAGTTAGGCATTGCTTCAGTGCTCAGCAGCATCAAACACCAAATTGCTGTGCAAGGCCAACCAGATAGAGTGAATCTGAGGGAAGAGGTTACACTTCATCCCCAGAACAAGCTATTTAAAGCTCTAATGAATCTATCTTATGGTCAGGAAGAAACTAAACCTACATGTAAGTAGTTGGCATTCATCAGCTTATAATTCTATTAATAGCATCTACAAAACCACAAATATCCCCAGTGCTCACAAGGAAATTTTAATGGTGTTCTCACAGTCTAACAAGCTTTAAACCAGCATGAAATTAAATATAGAAATGTTAGGTCAGTCTAGACAGCACTGCAGCTCCCCAGCGTGGCTGACTGGTAAGGAAGGGAGTCCAGAGAGCAGTGGAACCTCCCACATTTTTTATTCATTCCTGACGTTATCAGTTAAAAAGTCCTGGATATCATCGTGTTTTCTACATTGTTTTTTGATTTATATGTAGAATCTGCACCCAGGCATGAGGACTGTTCTTTTTAAAAGCAATTAGAAACAGTTGCACTGCTTCAATCTGCTGTGTGCCAGTGTAACTGCTCAGGACCTTCCTGCAGGAGTGAGACCTTTGTGTGGCTCGAGAGAAATGGCGACTCAGGAATTTCTATTTTGTGTCCCTTCACTTCATCATTCCCAATGCCAGCTCCTTTTTCACTCTTCTGCTCTGCTGCTCTAGCATTGAGTGCAGGAAGCAATTTCAGCTGAAGTACCATTGAGCATCTTCTGAGAGAGAAGAGCTTTTGTGTTCCTCCAGGAAGGGTTTGAAGTATCCTTGGGAGTGGCATTTTCCACAGGTGGGAGCACTTTGTGAAGACTTAAAAGTTTCAGAGTAGTTTGGACCAAACAGATCAAGCACATCCATTTCTTTATGCCTTACAGCTGCTGGATTTTTCACATCTTCAAGATTCCACACACAGTGTTCTTTTTATTGGTGCATTCCTTATTTCACCCTGGAATGTTTGTACAGTGCAACTTGTTACATATTCCCATTTTAGTGCCGTATGTTGTAGGATAACATTTAGACTTCCTAGACGGGGTTGAAATCTCTTCCTTGTCTGGAGCTGTGTCAGCTCTGGCACCTGCACTTTACTTGCCATCTGATTTTGATTGATTTCTTGTGTTCTTGGCTCCTTGACCTGTGTGGTTGTCAGGAGATTGCAACAGAAGTGGCCCTTGTTGGGAGCTCCATTTGCCTGGCGCTGCTCCGCTTGTTTTTGCAGCTGGAAGCTGGCAAGTGGATCGGGTTTATCCCGAGATAATCAGGTTAATCTGACCTCTGGTGTGGTCACCTATGGGCACTGCTCCTGCCCTTCACACCTTCTCTTCACCAGGGGTATAAAAGTGATGGGGGAGAACATCCCCAGATGTGAAGGATTTCGGGGAAGTTGGACGCTTGACCGATCACCGACCTCGGATTATCCACATCCAGTTTGCATGGATAGGGCAGAGCCTCCTATCCAGCAGCAGCCATTGGGTCAGGAGGTGGGGAAGGAAGGGCTGGGAGGGAGCTCTGGGAGCTGGAAATGGGAGAAAGGACAGAACTGGGAGCTTGGAGGCAAAAATGAGGAGAGAGCGAGAAGGGGCTGGAGGAAGGAGAGAGTCTGTGCAGGGGTTTAAAAATAAGAATTAATTTAATGAATAAGAAGAGAGTCGTGCATATGGAAAAATGGATGTGAAATGACCAACTAGAGAGGAAAGAAAAACTGTGAGAAAGGTGAAGAAAGGAACAAATTAAAAAAAAAAAAAAACTGAGAAGACAATTTGCTCTTTAAATATAAGGAATCTAAATAATCACAGTGAATCACTGCCTGACCAATAGAACTTTACAATGAAAAAATATTAAAATCAAATATGCAACGAGCATATTTTTATGTCTAAAATAATTAACTAGCACTACTGAGACCATTTGCAGTTGATAGAAAGCCCTGTGGTTATTTTAGAACATGGCATGAAGACTGAGTCACAAGGACTCTTACCAGAAGATGGGATCTGGGGACATCCTCAAGTGCATTTATTCAGATATTTGCATGAAAAGCTGTGTTAAAAGTTCTAGGACTGAAAGAGTCCCAGTCCTGCTGGATGTTACTTAATCCTTGTTAAAAAATTCAATCCTAAAAAAGAGCAGAACTAACTATATAAGAAAAATACTTTAAATGTTCTTTATAATTTTCTTCACAAAAAGGAGATGTATCTGTTTGGGTATTTTTCTTTTCCACTGTGTTAATTGTTTTGTGGGTTTGTTTTTTTTTTTAGCTTATGCTCTCCAGAAGTCTTAAGCCAATCACTTAAGAGCCAACAGAGACAGTTAATGATTAACCAATAAATTATGTGTGAGCTTCATCATAGTGTAAGGCAGATTCACAAGGTCATGAGCAGAGGTAAACTCTTACAATTCTATTTTCTTGTTGATACTGTGTCTTCGTTTGGATCCCAGTATTTAAAACCAAAAATAAACAAAGAACAACAAAACAAAACCCCAGAAACCAAAAACCCAACCACAAAGCACCTTTGCCAAGGGTCCCATCTCAGTTTAGCAGAACTTGCAGCCCTTTGGAAATTAATCACTGATCTTTGTTTGACATCAAATGTCCTTGATACAGCTCTGTGTATCACACAACTTTCATCTTAATAGATAAAGACTGTATAACCTGGTTAAGTGAAGATAATATTTGATACAGAAATCAATACAATTGTTCTTCAACAGAATAGTTAATTTTTTTTATATATATTCACCTCAGGCATATTACCTAATTCTAATATGGCACTTCTAGAAATGTGACTAAGATACTTTCTTGGGGAAATAAGTAAAGTCTGAGTTAATCTTCAGTGTGAAATGGTGTGGGAAGGTATTTTTAAATTATAAGTGTGCAGAGCAACTGTCTCACGCAAGGCTCACAGACTGTCAGTGTAAATACCATTGTCAGATTCGTGCAGTCACATAAGATTATTAAACTTGGGGGTGATATTCTCATGTGACACCTACACAGTTCATCAGCTTCAGGGGAGCTGCACAGATAGAAATGAGAGTAGAAGTTGACCTTTCCAATCCACGCACTGAGTCACCACTTCACCTCCAGAGCTGATGTAACCGTAATGCACTTCGCCTTTACATCCATTTTATCTGCCTGCAATGCTCATTACTAAATATAAACCTGTTCTGGAAAGTTAAAGTGGACATGTGACAGGGGCCACTTTGGATAAGCCCCAGCACTCAGACACTCTGCCCTATTAATGGTTCCACCGGGGTTGTGCCTAATGCTCCCCAGCGCCCGTGTTTGCTTTCTCCCGGATTACCTGGGCTCCAGACAATCAATAAATGCAGCAGGAAAAAAAAAAAAAGCTCCTGGTTCACTGCCTGCTGCAGTTCTCCCTTTTTCTTTCAGACAATTTAAATCTCAACAGAGGAGGGGGACCAAACGTCTCAGCTCAGTTAGCTGGAAAATCTCAGGCATCAGGCGGATTTTTAGATGCAGTTTGGCACGGCAGAAATGTCAGGGGCACTCGGTTTATGGAGGCGAACGAGAGGCTGCCTCTCGAATTTTTGACGTCAGCTGGAAGATGCAGAGACAGGTCAACAAAATGTTATTAGGACAATGTTAATTAGGACAAACCTTTATCCTGTGACCGTGCTGTTTGAATCTGCCAAGGGAGAGGAATCCGCAGGAATGAAAACAATGCCCGAGCACCATTTCCTAAGCCTGTCAACGTTAATTGTAATTTAAGACCTTCTGCTCTTCTTACCCTACAATAGAGCAACACGAGCTCTAGAATTTAAATGATGGGGTCTCTATTCCTGCTGGCACCTTCAAAATTATCTTGTCATGAAAATACTATTTTCCAGCGAGAAGATAAGAGGTATTTCTTTAAAGGGGGTAGCTAGGTCGGCACTAATGACTTCTGTGTCAGCTTTGTTACTGACAGTAGTATTTAGAAAAGAGCCTTGGATGGTGTCCTTAACACAGCACTGTAAATGCAGAGACAGATTGGACTTTGAAACTTAACATGTTCAAAATTTTGGGAACTAAATTAGGATGGAGAGGGGGTGGTGTAAGGCTGCTACCACTGCATACATTAAAGCAGAGTCTCTGTGTGTGGTTCTGCTTGCTCGCTTCTGTGGATTGAAGCTTTTGCTGTGCACAATTATTTACAGTAGGCAAACCCAAAAGGACTTCCTTTTACAAATGGGGTCTGATGCTTCCCACTGTCAACTTGTACCACAGTTTCCACAACACAGAAGGATGCACAAGCCTGCAGGCTATTTGAGGGAATATGTGTGTGTGTGTGTGTATTTGTTAAATTTCAGTGCTCAAAACTTTCATTTACTGTGTCTGTCTTAAATTCATCAGAGGGGGAAGAGCAGCCTAGTAGTAAGGACACCCTCAGAAGTGAAAGATGTGGGTAAGAATTCCAACAGCTTCACCCTTGGCAAGTGAGCAGGAGTAAAAAGAAAGCAGGAGCATCCTCAGATTCAATGAGACATGCTGGGAATGTTCAGATCAAGAGAAAAAAGAAAAAGTGAGAAATGGCTTTGTTACAGATTCTGGTGGCATTTACACAGTGACAGTGCTCAACAGAGACAAGGCTGTGTGTGTCAGAACTTGAGGTGTCTGCAGGAAACAGCAGGTGAAAATGTGAACACCCCCAGAACTAGTGGTGAGTTGATGTTCTTTCTGATTTTTAAAACCTGTAAATGGCTTTGTTCCACTCTTACTCCATAAGGGTCACCTGTGAAATTATTCACAGCAGACTTGCATTTATATCGAGTCTCTTTCTACCCTTTTCCCCACTGTTCACACACACACACAGTGCTCTCATTCTCTTGAAGGTTAAAGAACTGTTGTTTTTTACCCGACTATGACAAGAGCAGAACTCAAGTGACATTTCTGAACTCTGTTCTCGTGCTGTCAGTCAGTTTATATGGCTGTCCATCTGCATCTCATGTTGGCTTGACCTGGCTAGTCCAAAGCTTATTGTGTTGCTTTGGGGTTTTTTTCTATCTTTTCACTGTATTTTCTCTTTTTTATTTTTTATGGTACTATTTCCTTTATGACCTTTGAGGAACCTGTATTTTAAACTTGGTTACGTGAACTACATCACCTGCAATCACCAGTGAAGAAAGAAGTTAGGGTTTTTTTGTTCCATTAAATAGTACCAGGGTTGTGGGAGGAAAGAGGAGGCCTGGGAAAGCCAAAAAGCAGGAGTATTACTCAAGTTTATGGTAAGAAGAAGTTAGGCAACTACCATTACCAGAAGAGGGAAGTGAAACTTTACTAAGGTGCCCCAGCTGTGTAAAGCACAGTGGAAACTAAATTATTCCGAAGTCTTGTTCCCCGTCCATGCCACAAAGACACCCAAACCTGACTGAATGTGTTATTGGGTTTAAACCAATTTAGTGTATTAGTTCCAATAGTTTCACAATGGTTTAAAAATGCCAAGACTTTGCATATCAATGTAAAAAAGAATGTTCTTACTCTTTACTTGTTTTAAAGTGAAATCAGCACAAAGAAGTGGTAATTCCTTAGCAAATGTTATGACAGAGAAAAATTACTCTAAAAATGATTCAAAAGGATATAACCTGAAAACCTGTTTGAACAGTTATTTGGGTTGCTTCTTTTTCTCCCCCAAATTAAGTGTGAGTAGATGAAAACCTTATTTTCCTGAAATACTAATTTCTGTGAGGAATGGCGTTAAAGGACAAATGAGACAAGTTTAAGATCCTGGGCTAATGAATTCAGATGTAATTATTTGTTATTCGTATTTGATTTTTCAAAACCTATGATCAGCCTCTGAATGTGAGCCGATGGCACGACAAAGCTTAATGGTGTCAAATTTAACACTGATGAGCAGAATTTTTTATTCCCTGCTTATGAACCATCTGTCATTAAAAACATTTGGAACCCAGCAGCAATAATCTAGGATTTTTTTTCATACTTATTAGTAAAGGAATTAAAGCTGATAGTTCTAACAGAGGCAGCGAATAACTCTTCCCTGTGTTCTAGTGGCTTTTTAGCACTTGGTCCTTATCGGGTTTACTTGTCCCGTTCTTAATCTCATCAGCCGCATTTCCACTGCCCAGACTGTCAAAGGAACACCAAGTGCTGCAGATAAAATGCTCGAGGTGTAAAAAGCTCCTGCTCAGAAGCTAAATCAGAATCACATGTCAACACAGTTCAGGCTCAGGCTCTGGCAGGACGGTTGGATCATTGTTTTTAATGCAATTTACTAATTAAAAATGAGTCCCAGATTACGGAAAGTCTGGAATGAAGCGGCTTACTAAAATGGTGGTTTAGCGCCTTGAACTGGCTACACCAGAGTCTGCTCGTCATTAAACTGTAATTCAGCTGAATATTGCTCGGCAATTGCCAAACGCTCTTCCGACAAGAACCACCGGGGTTCCTGTGTCACAATCGTCCCCCCGTGTTTCGGCCGGAGCTGTTCGAGCGCCGGGGGCGATGAGCGGCAGGACTGCGGCAGGTGTATTTTATTCGGCAGATGTACAGTAAACGCATTACAGCAGATTAGCTGGATTTCTTCCTTTAAATGTACACTGCGAGATCCAAGTTGCCAGCCAGCTGTTTCTTATCGGCCCGTGTAATCTCCCCGAGCCCGGCTTTGCCTCTTTCTCCCGCAGCTATTTCTGTAGCGGGTCGGGCGAGCGAGAGCGCCGCTATGAATTTTAATGTTTCCACTGGGGAATCCCTCCCGCCTCCTCTTTTTGGATGAGATCCTCGAGGAAAGACCCAGAACACAGCGAGGAGGCGGAGGAGGAAGAGGAGGAGAGGGACGGCGTAGCCGCGGTACTGGGGGGAGCCGCGGGGTGTGATCAGGGGCCGTGGCGAGGCGGGCAGGGGTGGGAGCCATGGGCAGGGAAGGATGGCTCGGGGCGTGTGTCGCTGCCTGACCGCGGCACGGCAGCAGCGGCAGCAGCCGGAGCAGCGCGGCCCCGCCGCCGCCCCCGCACAGATGCTCCCGCCGGCATCCCCCGGGGCCGGCCGCGACCTGCACAGCGCCGAGGCGATCCCGCCGGCGACGGGCGACGGGCAGAGCCCGCGGACCGGGCGCTGAAGCCGCCTCGCCACCCGCACGAGAGGAGGAGCCGCGGGTGCCGCGCCAGCCGCCGGCCCCGCCGCCGCTCCCGCCGGCGCCCCATGGATAAGGCGGGCTCGCTGCACAGCTCGGTGCCCGCGCCGCCGCCCCGGCTCTACCTGCCGCGCAACTTCAGCTGCAGCGCCTGCCTCTATGGCAGCCTGGCCGAGCAGTGCAGGGCGGGCTGCAGCCCCGACGGCGACGCCGCGCCCACGCCCGTGGTGCGGGAGGCGGCGGGCGAGAAGCCGCCGCAGACGCGGGGCCGGGAGCCCACGCTGCCCGCCGTGCCCCCCAGCCCCACGCAGCGCCGCCGCGCCAAGTCGCTGCCCACGCCCGGCGACCGCAGCCTGCGCCCCGCGCTGCAGCACAGCCCGTCGCGCCGCAAGACCGTGCGGTTCGCCGACTCCCTGGGGCTGGAGCTCACCTCCGTGCACCTCTTCTGCGAGGCCGACCTGCCGCGGGTGCCGCTGCCCGCGCCGCCCACGCCGCGCCCCGCAGACCTGCTCAAGACCAGGAAGCCGCCGGCGCTGGGCGACCTGGAGCCGGTGCTGTTCGGGCCGCCGCCGCCGCTGCTGGAGCCGCTGTTCCCGCCGCAGCCCGGAGCCAGCCCGGGCTTCGTGGAGCGGGTGCGGCAGCACAAGGTGAGGCTGGAGTGGGTGCGGGCAGAGCCCGCGGGGCTGCGCGGAGCCGTGCGCGTCCTCAACCTCGCCTACGAGAAGGTGGTGTCGGTGCGGTACACGCTCAATGGCTGGGCCAGCTGCGCGGAGGCTCCCGCCGCGTACCAGCCGCCCGGGCCGCCCGACGGCATCACCGACCGCTTCGCCTTCCTGCTGCCCCTGGGCGCTGCCGCCGCCGAGGCCACGCTCGAGTTCGCCGTCCGGTACCGCGTGGCCGGCGCCGAGTACTGGGACAACAACGAGGGCAAGAACTACCGGCTGCGGGCCCGGCAGCGCCTCCCGCCCGGCACCGGCCTCCCGCAGGACCCCGACAGCTCCGCCTGGATCCACTTCATCTGAGCCGGGGGGATCCCCCCGCCCGGGGGCTGCCCCGCCGCCTCCCAGAGAGCCGCCGGGAGGGCTTTTCCCGAGTTCTGTTCCCAGCGGGGTGATTTGGCTTTCCGGGGTCGCTGGCGATGCCGGGGGACCCTCGCTCGCCTCACGGGGGTGTCGGGCGCGGGTTCCCCTCAGTCCGCCGAGCGCTGCGGCGGGCACCAAAGCAGCATCTGCCGGGGGGGCTCGGGGGATGGGCGGGATTGACCGGCCGGGACCGGGATCCATGGATGCACAGGCTTCCAGGTGCCGGAGGGGCTGCTGTCGCCTCAGCAGGTGACACGGAGGGCAGGGTCACAGGGCATCCCTCCAACCGTCCCATTTGCCTAATCCTGCTCAAGCAAAGCCCGGCTCCGGCGAGGGGCTGGATCTGCGCTCACCCTCTCGTGTCAGTTTGGGGTTAAGGGCCTCATAATGGAGGGCTGAGGGACAGGTTAGTCTGCAACCCAAAAGGACAAGAGCAGGGATGCCCCAAGGTGTAGCTGTGTTTCATCATGCTGTAAAAATGTTTGGTTTAAAGCAAAGATTTTTTTTTCTTTTTTAAATTTTGAACCCTATTTCATGTATTTAAACATACTTAGAAAGAAAAAAATAGCGTCACAGCCTAATCGAAATGTCACTCACGGAGAGATTTTCAAAAGAAAGTGTTTTGGTTTAGGATTCGTGTGGTACGTTGGTGGAAGGGGTTGGCAGGGTCTGGTGTTTGTTTCTGTAGGATTGGGCCCGTAAAGCTGCTTGTGTTGAGGTCAGCAGGAAAGTCGTGGGATTGCACCGAGGGAACTAGAGGCTGCAAGAGTTAAATCCATAATTCTGGTCTGCATCACAAGCAACACTTTCATTTTTATTCCTGTTGACGGTTTAACTTAATTTCTTAAGGTGTGTCAGGGCAGGGACCTCCTTTCTGAAAAATTAAGTGCTCCAAATTTTTCATAATAATTTCAGTAAGGGACAGGTTTCACAAATCTGGCAAAGTTTAGTGAGACAAATCGAAGAAAGTTGCACCTTGCCATATGAAAATACATCAATAGAAATCATGGAGTATGCTGACTTCTGCCTTCAAAGGTATGTTTTAAATATGTTTTTAAATTATATTAGCAGTAAACATAGCATTTTCCTTTTAAAACTCGAATTTTTGGGAGTTCAGCTGAGTACAGGTTGTGCTGGTGCCAAATCCGGGTGCTAATTTTCCAGGACTGAGGTGTATGCGTGTTTGCAGGAGAGGGACCTCTGCAAATACAACTTCTGAGAGTGGCAAAACCAATGTCAGCGTGATCTGCTGGTTATGAAGGGCTGTCAGGTCAGGCCTTTGAGGTTTTGGACCTTCTGTACGTTGTTAATGAATGAAATGTGATTTTTAACTTCATTTTTATGTTCCTTGAAAGAGTTAAGTGTCCCAAGCAGCTTGAGTAATGTCTGGAGTAATGAGTTCTCACAGAACTTCGGTGGGAATTGAGAGCACTTTTGTCTCCTGAGGGTTTGGTTCAGTCAGAATAATTAAACTTCTAAATTCTGGGGGAAAAAGAGGTCTGGAAAGTTGATGGGAAAAGAGTATTTAATTTAATTTCTCTGGATCACTGTCTCTGATTTAATGGAAGTAATAGCAAGACTGCTTTCTGTAGTACTGGTAACTTGGTTTTAATTTCCCAGGCAGTTTTCTAATCCCTGTGTTTTTAATGAAACAGAATATAAGAGAAATGTACTGTCAGCATCTCCTGAGGATTTCCCATTTTAGAATATTAAGGTCCCCATCTTGTAATACAGTAATCCTATAAGTTGCTAGAACATGGATATAAAGCTAGAATTGCACAACTAGGGTCTTAAAATGCTCATGAGTAAAGCATATGAAGTGGTGTATTTGATTAAAAAAAGCCCAAGTGTCTTTTAGTTGAAATTATATTTTTTTATAAGAGCCTTAATACTGGAGAGAAGGAAAAGGACTTGTCTCCATTTGAAAGCACTTTGAAATCTGTAGAAATACAGCAAAACATCTTTTATTTATGTGTTAGAGCTTTCCAAAGCACTTTTTGCTTGGCCTTTTTCACCCAAAGAGTGAACCAACAGCTGGAGGGTTGGACAGACTAAAATGCTTGGAGAAAAAAGTAGTTTCTGTGCATTTTAGATCAAGTGATGCTGCAACTTTGCTTGTGAAGTTCTAACAAGATTCCTGTTTACTGTTTCAATGGCTTTAGAAACACAAACAGAGCTAAAACCATTTTTAACAGTGAATGATTCCAGAACTCCAAAATTATTTTCCAGTGAATGGCAGTTTTCATTGTCATTTGATTTATGCAGCATCTGCAGGTCTCTGAAAATTTTCTAAAGGCTTCTAAAAAGTTTTTAAAATCTCCTTCTAACACCTGTGGCTTAAACTCTTTCAATTTGGGATACCCAAGTGGCTTACATGCACCGAGTACACTGGGAGGTTGTTGTGCTACCCTTTATTTTTTATCACGATTTAGGTGAAATTACTGTTGCTCTTGGTTGAAATTTTGCAGTCAGAACTGGGCTATGGCTTTACAATACTGTTCAAAGGTCACTGTTCTTTTATTTATGGCTGCCTTTGCCACAGACAGACCTGAATATTAAAACTTTAGGGGCTGTAGAGCACCAGAAGAATGTCCTGTAAAACAGTTCTCCTGAGCTTTCAAGCAGTTCAGCCTGACCTAAACCTGAATTTTGTGAGTAACTTCAGGGGCTTGGACTTGATCCCAGATTATGGATAACACACATGCAAGCCCAGTAACAGACATGGCCTTTCTGGAAGCATTTAGGAACAGCTCCTTTTCCAAGCTGGAAGGGTGAGGCTGCACCAGCAGCTTTGACTGGAGGATGCTCTTGATGAGCTCTGTGGAAGAAGATTAAGGTGTTTTAATAGAAATTATCGGTGGTATGTGCCACAGTTGCACCTCTTCAATTACACATTTGCTGTTCTATCACATGAATTTATTTCCAAGCAAGACTCACTCAGATTTCCAACCACATGTTTTGGTTGCACTGGCCATGAGTGTTTTGTCCCTTGGCAGCATTCCTGTGGCTTCCAGTCCCTTAGATTTCAACCTGATGCCATCTATGTGTGGCTTGCTGGAAGCATTGTGATAAATGGTGATTAAATGAAAATATCAAATGATATTTATATAATATTTACATAAACTTCGAGGAGAAAAAACCCACATTTTTAACCATTTTTAAGTTGGCAGGACACCCATCCTTTTAATGGGAGCACGAGCAAAACCGCTTTTTAAAATCCTATTTCTGAAGAATGTTGTTCAGCAGAAAGAACTTTCACAAGCAAAGTAAAATATCTGAAGATTTTCCAAGCCAACCTTCTGCTGGAAACATGTCACCTCTTTGTATTTTTATTTGCATGGATGGATATGGCACCTCCCTTTCCATGTGATTCCAGAGTGGTTTAGACAAGGCCATGATCCTTGGGTCCTGTGCTTCACTCTGAAGTAAATTATTCAGATGTAAAAGTGTGTCTGGCATTTCTGGTGCAAAGCTGCAGCTTTATGGGACGTGCCATGTTATTGTATGTGCACTATAATGTTAATTTATACAGCCAGTCAAGTTGTACTGTATGTCTGACAGGGATGTTTGCTGCTTCCCACTTGAACTGGCAGGTTTTTGCATGTGATTCCATGCCTTTCGTGGCACTATTTTGGAAATTTACCCTAATTATTAGAGAGCCTAAAGGGAATCAGAACTATTGACTGTAAATGGCATTTCAGCTAGCTAAGCATATTATTTATGAGCATAAAACTGAAACTGTCCTACTCATTTTCAACAAGTATACATAATTTCAGGTAAATTAAATTGTTTTCTAACCTTTTACCACTTGCAAGCAACTTTTTGCTGTGAATGTGTGTGCCTCAGAATCTCAGAAAACAACAGAATAAGTGCACACTCTTTGTTGCTTCAACAGATGTGAGGGGAAAATGTATCACTTGAATGAACAGATGTCTGCTCATGCAGAAGCATCACCCCTTTACAGAGACATGAAATGTTTTTCCATAGTAGCCCTACAGAAATACTCAGAATCTGATATTTAACATATTATTGAGAATATATTAAAATTTTTACGTGCCTTTCAGCATTTCCTAGGAAGAAATCTCCCGTGTTCCTTAGCTCTCCCACCAGAAGTCCAATAAAGACTTTGTCATTAAAATGAAATTTATACTAAAATATAATAATCTAATCTAATTCCTGACACATTCCCAGCTGTGCCAGACATCCTGAAGCTGTAGCAGCAGGAAGAATTCGATTATATTTTCCCATATTACAATGAAAGAAATGTCAGTCAGAAATATGTCTTCCTGATACACCTCTACAATTGCATAGTTAATTAAAAAAAAAATCTGTGACTTTAGTTGATATAACAAGATATATTTATTGTATATATTCACCTCTTGCACAGATATTCTAAATATATATTCTGTCTGAAACCAGAAGTTCTAGTTTTTTATGAAATCTGTTTGTGGAGACGTGGTCTCTTCAGCTTTTACTGTTATTTATCTGATGCTGCATAATGAGTATCATTAAAACTTTGGGATGGATTTTGTCTGTCTGCAGAGGTCATATCATGACATTAAAGTGCTCACTGCAGGGAGGAGCTGAAGAAAATTACTTTTACCTTCCAGTTCCACTGCATGGCTTTTTTGGGAAATCCTCAGTGCACGTGTTTGGAGAGGATGGAAGGATTATTGAATGACTGACAGTCTTTTTGAGCACTGAGAGGAAGGTTTTTCCATCATAAATAGTTTAGGGCAAGAAGTAAATGTAGTCAGAGTCGTTGTAAAATGAATCCCTCAGCCTTATGTGGAGCTGGTCAGTGTTTTGTTTAAAAGGGAAGGTGGTGGCGTGTTTCAAAATGAAACATGTTCAGGGAAACACACCTGTTTCGAAGGAAGGTTTTCTCAGGTTCAGCTTATTATGAGAGAATTGCCCCAAAATAAATAAGATTACTTCCCTACATCCCTGTATGGACTTGAATGTAGGTCTTCCATGATCAGAGTGGATGCTGAGCTATAAAACCATTGGCTATTGCTTGGATTCTTTCTTTATCCAACCTATAAATATGACTTTTTACTTTACAGAGAGGAGTTTTGACCCTGAGTTTCCCCATCTCATGGGAATATCCTCTTCATTCAGCTCTGCTGTTGAGAGAGGTCTGATTTTAATTTTATGCCACGTACGAAGATTATTTTCCATTACATTTTTGGAGGGAAAACTGTTTTCCTTGCGGTTTTAGTTTTACAACATGAAACAGTAGCATGCAGCCTGAAAATTGCTTGAAATAAGATATGCACTAGTGATTCCAAAGAATATAGCTAAGAGAAATGTCCAGTGTGAGATGTGCTTTTTTAAAAACATATGTGCTTTGGTCTAGTAAGGCAGGGAGAAAGTCCTAGTCCCCAGTGCAAGTGTATTAATGCCAGGGATTTCTTTCTATGCAATTCTATGGTGCACCTGGGTTTTTTTAGGGGTTAACTTGACTGGTGTAGTTGATGTTATCAGTGTGTTGTGTGTAGAATATTCTGTTAAAAGTGTCATTAAGGAAATTGTGTGTCTTAAATGGTGTTATAACTTTAGGCTCTTTTTTTTTTTGTCCGATCTGACTTCACTAAATCATAATAATGCTCCTCTTAAAAGTACCAAGA